CGCTACCTCTTGTGGTTCAGGTTGCAAGATTCGTTTTGGTCACCTCACCAACTAGGCGGCACATGCTATCTTGCGGAACTTGCGCTATTTGCTCGCAGGAATGCCAGACCCCAAGCCCAAGCTTGGAGGGGCCCCATGGCAGCAAAAGTCCGCTTTGAGTTGTGTGGAATCGTACATGCCATCATGCTCACGGTTGAGTTCTGACAGAGTGCCGACAGGATCCTTTGTAGGTTGGCAGCCTGTGTTTTTGCACCGGCTGCGATTCTGCAACACTCTCTCATGTGGCATCTGAGGTTTACATGATAGGCCCAGGGGGGACCCACGGGGAGAGCGGAGAGTGTCAACATTTTGTGATGCATCAGAGATGACATGCGAAGCTGTAATGCAACCCATCAATGTTTGAGGGCTCACAATGGTATTTGCATTGAACGGAATGTGACGCCACCGTAGATGACATGGCAGTCACAAAGCACTTTTACGCTGTACCGCCCAAACAGAGTCGCATCCTACAACGAGCATCCACATGCAACTACGGTGAGGCGACATACGTGTGCCCGGCAATATAGGTTATAGATACTTCCACTTCAGGGCTCACCAACCCACAGCAAGGATTCACAATCAACAGTCGGCTTCCAGACAATGCTGCGTACAGACGTTTTACTATGTTTTACTGTTTTGCGGATGAATGTAGCCTTGCAGTCAAGTTCGCCCGGCAGCCCGTGAAACACTGTTGCTTCGAGACGTCGCATTTCCCACTCGAAGCCCCGCAGCTAAGACAAACTTGTGGCCAGAGTTAGAAGTTAGAAGTGACCCTCGAAGTGCCGAACATGACAGCACATGACAGCCAACTCCCTGCTTGACTTAGGACGTCTCATAGGACCTAGGCCTCTGCTTGGGTCCCCGTCAAGTTTCTCCATTCTCGCGTGTCCCTCGTGTGATTTGAGCACCTGTCAGCTTAAGCAACGCATCCCTTCATCAATCCTTTCAGAGTCACCGCGGCCGGATAGTCCTAGAAGAAGTGGTTTGATGTCAGCGAAGAAAGTGCTTGACGTCATTCTGCTGGTTTGCAGCTTTGCAATTCATTGGCGACTTGGAAGGCAGCTGCGCAAGGACCATGGCTGGCGAAGAGTTCGTAACGAAACACTTTATCCTCGGTGCCGGGACGGCAAATCTGTCTCGGGTGCTCATTTGACTCATTACAGGATCCGACAGCTTTCGTAGCTTTTCCCTAGGCGACTTCTTTGTGGTGGACACGGGCTCGAAGGCTGGAGCGGGCTGTCTCGAGCTGCCAGTTTGTAACATGGGTCCGAGCTTGAAGCTTGTAAAAAAGTCTTGCAATGCACATGCCACATGGCCTTGTGAGCGTTCAGCGTGCCTGGCCCGATGGTCTTGCGGACCAGGTGCGCTTTGACGAGAACCTGAACCTTAAAGAAGACTACGTCTCTTGGCTGCGTCGCCTGTGTCCAGTTCAGCAGAAGTGCAACTGCACGGTTCCACACAGTGTCCACACATGAAGCAGAGGACTTCACCTGTTCACACATTCGTGCTCATGGTGGCGCATCAGCCCCAGGATGTCCTCGACAGCATTCCCACATGTTCTGAACAAGGATTTGCAGCTTAGTAAGCTTACGTAGTAACTTAGGTCATGCGATGCAATCGCATGACCCTCAACGTCAAGCACTACTCGAACACTGGGGGTGCGTGCTCCAACCGAGACAAGAAGGGCAAGGAGGAGCATTATCGGAGCATTCTCCGCTGATGTCAGCTCCGGCGTCGCAACTCAGCTCTACTGTACGGTTCTCCTCAGTTAGACTCTGAGATGTGCAGGAGCAGCGCAACATCGCCATTCTCATGAACAAATGGCCACTTGGCCGTGGTGGAATTCAGAGCCGTGGTGCATTGCATTTGTTGTAACAATGATGGACCAGACGTCCGCCTATTTAAGCCCTTACGCGCGTGATCTTTATGCGTTTCAGACTCCCGGCTTGAACATGCTGCTTTAACACCTGCTGTTTCTGAGGCCACGTGCCCTTCGTGACAACCCGAAGCGCGACAACGAAGCCTCGCGCTCAGAGGCGGCAAGAATAGTGCGCACTTGACGGTCTGGCATTTCACAGTTGAGTTAAAATCAAAAACCTGTTTAGGCCACCTCTTGGCCCGACCCGCCGTGTCTGAAAGCCTTGTTCTCTCTGGGCGGCCGCAGTGGTTTACATAGGTTGAATGGAAGCGCCGCAGCGGTTTGTGTGAGCCAGGTACTGATACCCCGCCCGATACCCTCAACAGTGCTCAGCATAGCCTGTCCTCTGTGAGAGTCGAAACCCCGAACCCTAAGCAGGTTTCAACAATAGATAACAGAAGATCAAGTTCTTAGCAGGTGCTTGAGTGCTACGTTACCGATACCCTACCGATACCCCCACCACCCTACCGGTAACAATTCAGGGCAGTCAGCCATCCGCCACTAGCCCCAGACCTTCCGAGCCTCCCCAAGCGGCTTGAGGTACCGAACCGAGGAATTTAGGTGTGAAGGGGGGCTGGGTGTTGCAGCTAGGCTGGGATTTTCACAGCTTATTTGTTGAGCGTACATGAGTCCTGGCTTGATGTTCGTCCATGTTTACTTCTCAGACCTTCAAGTAAGTTTAGTAGGCAGCCGCAGTGATTTGCCTAGTTTTAGATGTAGGATAACGATTTCAAAACGATTTTTGACAACGACTCAGTTTGGTTTGGTGCGTCTCACTCTCCCTGTAAGGTCATCATGAGCTGGCCAGCCGACGACGATGCCGAGGGTCTTCACCACGAAAAGAGGCAAGCCTTGGACGTAGTCGGATTCGTCGTCGAACGCAACATGTGGAGCGTGTGAAGAATTGACCTGTCACAGGAAGCCAAAGAAAGTGCCAAGCGGCAAGATCAAGGCAATGAAGGCCCGACGCACGCAATCCTGAAAAGACGTCAGCTGGTCAGTGTCCATGACCGTAGATATATGCTTTATAGAGATACGCACAGGCATATAAGTATGTATGGGTACCTGGTGTTTCATGCGAAGCCACTGCATATCGCTTGCAGCCGCAGCAACACGTGGACTTGTTGAGGCTGTGTCGAAGAAGACGAAGAAAGCAAAGGCTCCAAGTGTCAGTTCTTGAGATAGCCAGGCTATTCTTAGTGTCTTGCATGTTCTTGCAGAACATCTGCAGTGCCAGAGTGTACAGATCGACTCCCCTGAGCTCCCCATCCCGAGCTCCTCAGCTCCAACTTTCTATATTCTGACGGATATTTCGGATATTTCTTGCAGGCCGGCCTGCCGAGCAATGCAGTCATCCTGCGGACAGAGAAGGGCAACAAGGAGCGGCGGCAAGATTCAGAAAGATTCAGAAATGCCCCCTTGCGATTTGGCGTTCTATAAGACGCCGTGAGGGAGGGCATTTTGCTGATTGGGCTGCACTGTCTGCACTTGGCAGGCGGCAAATGCCAAACTTCAGCCATACATTTCCAAGAGGTGTGGACGGGCCCCATGGCTCCAGCTTAATGCAAAGCTCTAAATTCCAAACCCTCCACTGAGTCTAACCATGCCCTGCTGCAGAAGTGCCATGAAGTGCCTGAATGTTTCAGTGTTTCTGAAGGTCTGCTGTAGCTTCCGAAGAGCTGCGCTGGCTCAGGTCAATGGCAAGCGGGTCAGCGAGGCGAGAAACACGGGAGTTTCGAAGATGAACTTGCATATTTCATGTTGCATACTATGTGTAGCGATTCTTTATGCATGTTGATTCATGTTGCAGGTCCTGGGCCATATCAAGTTCAACACAGCCAAGGGAGAGCTGCGAACGTGCCCAGCCTGGGTGTGGAATCAGAACGGCCATGACATGAGGCTTTCAAAGCTGAACCATGCAACCGGAGGGAGCAGGACAGGAAGAAGAAACAGGTGAGACCACAGTTCTTTGCTCATGCCGGGGTTCCTCAGGTATACGCTCGGAGACCTGAGATATGATCTTCATCAGGGCTATCTGAAACTGAAGGTTCGGGCCAGCAACGTCTGTGATTGTCAGGGCGCGTCATAGTTTGGTGTTAAATGCCCCGGCATCAGCCTTTGTTCCGTGCCGAGTCTCAGCATGCTATGTGTTCACAATCGGTCGACATGCGCAGGTTTCGAAGACTTCCTGAGATGCGGCCTTTCTTCTCTTCTTTGCTTGTGCTATGCAGTCACTAAATAAGGCATCCTTGCAATATTCATGACAGATTGAGCGGAGTGTTCAAAGCTATCATGGCAGACGATACCATACGATGGCAGACGGCACGCGCAAAACACCAGATCCTGCTGGAGAGCGGGCTTTAGCTTCTTTAGATTTCCTGGATCCCATGTCATGCAAACAAGGAGAGGGACACTTGTTTTTGTTGCGAAGAATTGAGTTTGGTGTCTCGCAACTGCTGCAGTGCAGTGCTGGTCAACATGGCTGATGCTGAGAGCTTGCAAAACATGTGAGAACAGCTTAGCCACGTGTAATCTGCATGAGGAGGAATCAGTTGATCCGGTGTGGCGTGAATTGCACGCCTTTTTGACAGGGCCGCAATTGGGACATAAGTCAGTAGTTTGGTCAAGGAGAAGCAATTCCACTGCTGGCGACAGATCCGCAGGCATAAAGCAGTCGTCATGGGTTGTCATTAGGGCAAGCAAGGACATGCAGATGTGTTAGAAAGTTGAAAATAATGTTGTACGAAGCAGTGTGGGATCCATCCACTTGGGGAAGGAGCGCAGCTCAGCTGCGAGTGAGCATCAGCTCGGTTCCGAAAAGTCCTGTGTTGGCGGGTTGCTGTGGTCGTCCTACGAGTGGATACGAAGCGCGTTGCCCGGTCAAGCATGATCTCTTTTCAGCCAGAAAACTTCTGTTTCATTGCAAGTAGTTCGCTGTCAGCATGGTTTCCTCCTCTCTTGCCGCGCTTGAACTCATGGGGGATATGTGGGACCATGGGACAGTTTTTTGGTGTTGCAAGTTGAAAGGGCATTGTTCCTGCAGGCGCTGCCTGGACATCCGTGCCCTTTCTGCAGGCGCCTACAGTACTCTTTGCGAACATGTAGCTGCAAAACATCTCCAACCAGCTCAACCCTTGCAGGAGTTTGCATTTCAGACGTGCGACTTGGGTCTCTAAATGGTGACCGTCTCGTAATAGGTGGTCGGGGGGGGGGGTCACGTGGATTCCCACCTATTTTTCCTGGAGCCCGCCACCTATTCTACCACCGTGGGGGGGGGGTGGGGGGAAATAGGTGGCGCGTATCATTTGGTTCTATGATGTACAACTACTTCTGCAACTACTTCTACTACTACTACTACTATTACTACTACTACTACTACTACTACTACTACTACTACTACTACTACTACTACTACTACTACTACTACTACTACTACTACTACTACTACTACTACTACTACTACTACTACTACTACTACTTCTGCTGCTACTACTACTACTACTTCTACTTCTACTTCTACTTCTACTTCTGCTAGGTGGGATTACTGTGGGAGTATATAGAGGCTACTAGTAGGGAATGGTAGGGAACCTCACAGAAATAGGTGGCAAGGCAGGGCGGGTTGTGGGGATAGTGTAGCAGGGGGGTGCCCCCCTTTCCTTCTAATAGCGGGGGGGGGCTACTACTAGGGAACCCACCCTATTTCTGTAGCTTTCTGTATGCTCCCACAATAACGAGGCCTAAATGGGTAGAGGGAAAGGGGGTCACCCCACGGTTTGTATGTGCCCCCCTGGTTTGCCACCTATCTGTGTAGGTTCCCGACATCCCCCCCCACCCCCCCCACCCCCCCCACCCCCCCCACCCCCCCCCACCCCCCCCCACCCCCCCCCCCACCCCCGCGAGCTGGTCATCATGTCTCTAAGTGTTGCATCATTGTGGGCGTTGGGGATGTGTGTGTGTGTGTGTGTGATATCTTCGTGCTGTCAAGAGAAGGTTCACCGGCTGCTAGCATCGTTGCCAAAGCATTGCATGGATCTTGCTCCGTGGTAGGAAATGCGCACTGCTTTTGCCAGGCCTCGCAGCATGTGCTGCTGGTGCACGATGGCAGGAGCTTATCCCCGCTAGGTGGTCCGACAGTCGTGCTTGTTTGTTGTACTGTGCTGCGCGGCAGTCTTCACTCCATACTTGATGACTTGCATAGCCGCGGCATAGCCGTAGCCAACGACATCCAACGACACAGTGTCTCAGCATCACAGGCAGAGTTCCTGTGCCTTGTGCACTGCTTTGTGCATCATTCCGCGGCCTTGCGCCGCGCCAATTTCCAGGAGAGTCTCGGCATCCTGCGCTATGCAGAAGCCACTGGCCTGGGCTTGCAAGCCGCTGAGATCCCTGAGCTGTCTTGAAACAGAGAAAACATCAGGAGAGTCACGGAGACAGATGCCAAATATGCCAAATCCCAGGCCCAATGCAGTGGGCCGCAGTGCTGCAATTGCAACGCTGCTCCGAGCAGAGCGATGGCATCAGGCATCCACGAAGCCAGTTTGCGGCCATGCAAACCAAGCAAATCAGCTCAGAAATATCACTTTGTGGGATAGGGGGAAGGGGCCTAATGGGCTGAGGAACTTGAGCGAATGGGCGGTTTCAGATGCAGGCCCTATACTTGTTCGACAAGTTTGAAGCGGAGCTGGAGGCCTGAACCACCAAGTTTCCAAGAGCTCTCCTAGCTTTCCCGTGAACTTGATCAAACACCTGCTACTGCTAGTGGTAGTCTTTTGGCGCATGCGAGGGAGACAAATCAGACACATGCAAAACATCAGAGTTTGTGGACCAGATCTCATTGTTTTTGATCAGTCCACCGAGCCCGTCTCCATCGGGGCCGCCAGCTTAGCGGCAGCCTGTTTTCTGCCTTGGGACAACCTTGAGACATCTTCTGGGACTGGTGCGGGAGGCAGCCATCAATGCCTGCGGCCAGGGACCGTCCATTGTGCCCAGTCAAACGAGATTGAGCCAGATCCCGTTTGAGTGTTCCAAAGTTGTTCAAAATGTGTTCATCAACATGTCGGCAGGATCTCACTGGCAAGGGGCGCTCTTTCTGCTGGATCGAGTTGTCCTCCATGCCTTGAAGAAGGACACCGACTGGTTCTTTCCTCCCAACGAACTTTCCATCATCTTGCACCTATTGTTCGTGATCGTTGACCTCCTAGGTAGGATAAGGGGGACCCTTAAAAGGAACCCCTTCTGAACCCTCTTGTGGCTCTCTTAAACAGGGACCGTATTCAGAGGGTCTATATCCCCAAGGGTCCCCCTAATCCTATCCCCTATGACCTCGGAGTCTCACGTGCCATGGCATGCGCAAGCAGCAATCGTGCATGCAGCCCTTGCCCCCTCGTGTATAGGAGGGCTTGCGCATGCACGTAGACAACGAAGGGTTGCATTTTTCAAGTTTTCATGTTTTCCCCACTTGTCCGATTTAGTTTCAAAATCCAGTTTCAAAATCTCTGTTACAGGGGAGCTGCGTTTTCTGTGCGTGATTTCTTGAAAAACAGGAATATGTGTGAGATTCTTGGCTTTGAAGAAACGCGCGCAGAAAGTGCAGCTTCCCCTTAACAGCGATTTTGAAACTGGATGTTGAAGATAACTTGAAACCAGCTAGAAACTACGAGTTTGGATCTTGAAGAGTGCCGCATTTCGGACTTTTCTGTTCTTCGGAGCCTGTCTACACCCAAGATCCTCCCATCACATGAACTATTGCAGGTATTGCCCTGCGTTGTTTGCTAGACCACGATGATCCCAACGTTGACAATTGCTAGTACTGTATTGCTCGGCAATGAATTGCTCCTACTTAGTAGACATGGGCAACTGTGGAAGCACTTGCAAGCTAAAGCAGCGCAACTTCCTAGAAATTCTGTAAGTGTAAGTCCAGCAACAGCATGTACCAGCTAGACTCTGCACCGCGCAACTGCGCCCGCTGTGGCCTTCAGCTTTCCTTCCCTTTGAAGCACAACCGTCTTTGCTTCTTGGACGCCTGAGTGCGTTGTCCAAGAGTCACCCACTGACTCCGAAGGATGATCCAGACGGCCGTGTTCCTCGGCGGACTCTGCAAGTTTGCCCTTTGATTGCATTGAGAGTTTCACACGTATCGGCTGCAAGAAGTTTCAGTCTTGAACTTGATTCATGTCGAGGCCGCAATGCCGCAATAACAGCCTGTGGGCGTGCCTCACGCTGCTTAGCTGAAAAATGATCAGGGTTGAGCTCGAGGATCAGCGTGGGAATTCTCAATCTTTTGCTGGAAGGCATGTGCAAGCTTCTCCTCACTAGACTCATTTCCGAGAACATGATCCAAGGATGGGGCTGGGCGCTTCACATGTTTTTCGAGCATTTGGCACTCTGCGGCGCAGACGAAGTTGGTTGCAGTGCCCAGGCTGCCCAGGTGTGCAGCTAGGATAGACGGCCGTTCGGCGATAGAGAGCCCCAAGCATAGTGCAGACTGGGTGTCCGTTTTTAACATTGAACTGGCTTCGTTTCTTCGACGTCATTCATTGACCTTGACTGGCAGATGTGCTTAGCAGCCGAGCAGCCCACCACGTGCAAGACATGGCAAGATATTGCTGGCTTCGCAGAAGCTTTTCACGTCCACGTTCTTTGCAACCTTGGGCGGGGTGTCTGTGGCGCTCAGGTGCCGTGGTCAATGCTTGCCAACAGGCATCGCAGTGGCAGCAGGCAGAAAGTCGCGGTCGCGAGTTCTTCTGACATTCGAACACTCGCACTGTCTCTCACCAAGACCAGAAATCCCAGGCCCTGGGCGTGCTCCCCTTCGCTCCAAAAGGCCTGATGTGAGTGGTTTCAAATTTCGGTCGACTCAGCAAAATTCGGCAACCACGACCTCTCCTTGCACAACCACACAACTCGACACAGTGAGTTGATGCTCATGTTTGAGGGCGCCGTGGAGAAGCAGCAGTGACGGCAGCCGCCCCAAAGCCATGGTACTGCTACTCCAGGTGAAACTCTGTCTTTCTCGTGGTGTCTTTTTTCATATGGCTCCGCACTGACAACAGATGTTGTAGTCGTATACTGCAGAGGCAGCCATGGCTGCTTGCGAAAGAGCATCGTGCTAGACCCAAGGTGGCGATACCAGTGCATCGTTGTTCTTTTCCACATGTTCGAAGGATGGACACATTCATTGCCCAGGTGCTGGCCGGTCGCCCTAAGCTTGTTGTCCCGAGGAGGAGGTGTGGACCTTTGTGTGTGCGCGATAACTTGATCACCTTGAGACATGGGCCGGATGGGCATAGATTCGGGTCTTTGCAGAGTGCGCAAGCTCTCTGAACGAACGAGCTTTGCAACCGATTCGCCTATCCTGATGTCCGGACTGTAGGGACAATGTAAGACACTTTTGAACGCTGTTCGCCGGTTAAAAAGCATGTAGCCCGGGGCAGCGCTCTTGTCGCTGTTGCAAGTCGGGCATGAAAGCGAACTTCGGCACATAGAAACTACTGCGGTATCAATGCGGAAATGCAGTGTTCAACATGACAACCAAATAACCTAGAAACGGACCAAGCGTCTTCTCTCAAAAACAATCCTCATCAGTGTAGGTGGCACATGTGATACGGAAAGGTGTAAACAACCAGGCAACAGTTTGTTTTAGCCACTGTGTCTATTCCTTCTGTGCTTCTTGCTCGCTTCATCCCTTCCGACTGCTAAGCAGGCAACAGTGACAGGCGTAAATTTTGGCTGGGGATGCTAGGAGCATCAATAAGGCGTAAGGTTCGATCGGCTTGGCCGAGTTCGGCTTGTTGGATGCCTTGGACAAATGTGCGATTGTGCTGCTGGGATCGGGCGGTAGCATGCGGACACTCCTCGCATAGCTGCGGGGTTACAGTGTTACAGTCAGTATGCAACCGACGAGAGGCCTCGAATCTTGGAACACGGCCAGATGCCTACGGAACGATGAAGCTACTTTGGTGTGTCGCGAGTCTTTGGTGCTAACATGTGCCTCGTTGCTGCGGGTGAGGGGGCTGTAAGAGTCGAGCAAGGGGCAACCGAAACTGCTGAGGCCATAAGCGCCTGCGAGAAAGGTGGACTGTGGCAGGCAAGTTCGGAGACTGCAGCTTAACAGTTGAGACACATGGAACAACTGCAGTAGCAGTGACTCAAGCACAGGCATGGCACTTTCAAGATCTTTCAACTCCAGATGACATATGCAGATGTTCACAATGTTCACATAATTTGAACCGCAGCTCTTCAGGCGGCACTGGCTCTCTTTTGGCAGCTGCCCGCACGGCAGCTTTCACCAAGCGGCGTGTTTCGAGCTCAGAATTTAGTGTGGACCCAAGTCCACCAAGGCTTTGAAAGCGTAACAGGTTTGTAGCGAGAGCGTAACAAGACTGCAAGGATCTGCAGCACTTGGCCTTTGGTCTTGGTGGAAGTGCGCAGATGTTGCCCAGTCCGCATGCCATGTTGACCCCCCCTCCCCCCGCACTCACCCGAACAAGCTGAGCCTCAATCCAGTGTACAGACTGTGCAGATAGTGGTTGGAGCGATGGGCCATCGTGTCTTGAGCCACAAAATCTGCACGCACTCGATGGTACCTGTCAAGATTTTTGATCTTTTTGGATCATTTCTCAGGCGTTTTCTTTTCTATTTTCGGTTTCCCCTCAACTCGAGAGCTGGCCGATGCTGTTTGCCTGTTCCCTACCCAAGGTCCTACAACACGGCCATATCCGCGTGCGAAAGGCCGATCACACGACGATCCAGTGCTATGGTCAAAGAGGTGTCCAAAGCAGCGAAGACGTGCGATTTTACGATCTCAGAGTGTCATGTTATGTGAGCCGAGGGGGAGTGCCCTCTGTGCCCTTCAGGGAAAGCCTCTGGCAAGACGCGCTGTTCTTATTGTCGCATCGACGAGCTGTCGCAGAGGACTGCTATGGTTGTGCTCTGTTTGAGGTTGTGCTTGATTTTTGCTTGATACCTTTATTGCTTCCGGTGCCTCCTGGGAGCACCTCTTCGGAGACCTGCCAGGCCGATGTAATTGCAGTGGGGTCGACAGTTCTCGCCTGCGCCAAGGCAGGGCAGCTGCGAATCACAATGAAATCAGCCGAGAATTGTGTAGCGAAGGTGACATGATCGGTTGCCGTCAGTTGCACAAGTGTTGCACATCTAGCTGACTACCGAGGTACAAAGTCCACAGGTTGTTTCGCTATCGTGCCGTGCTTTCGTACGCTGGTGTCCCTTCAGGCCGCTCAATGGGAGCAGTGCATGGCAATGGCCGCAGCCTCAGCCCTTAGCCAGCAGGCTGCCACGAGCTGTGCCATGAGTTGTACCCAGAGTTGTGCACCTGTCATGGATCTGCAATGGTTTGAAAAAACATATATATATATATACACAATAGTGCAGGTTGTTGTCCAGCGCAAATGGTCGCTGCTTGACTCGCGTTGCCACAACTCCTCTCAGCTAAAGGTGTTGAATGCTTGGGACATTGCCGGCGTTTCGTCCCGCCGGCTCTGTTCTGTTGGAGATTATGGAGCAGCTGCGAGAGCCGCCATGACCCAATTGATCACTTGGATCATTACGAACCAAACCCAGAGAGACTGCATAGAGACTTTCGATGTAGCCATTGACATGAAGAGCAGTCGTCGGCCGTGGCAAGCGTGCACTCGACAGTGGCTGTACAGCCTTCCTCAGTTGACGAACTCACACCTGCACAGACCTTCTGGCCTTGCAGGCAAGTCAAATCTGGTTGTGCCCAACAGCGAGCAAGCCCGCAAAGCGTTAAGTGGAGCATGTGGAGCCCTCTACACAATCAAGTATGCAGCTGTAAAGCCATACATTGCATGGCTGGGGCACTGCAGCTGCGGAAGCGCGTCCGCTGCACTTGGAAGGGTTTCACTCATTGGGATTCAACAGCAGCAAATGGCAGGTGCGACTTGGTCGACTCCCAATCCAGCTCGGTCTGAGCCCCTGAATTCTGCAGGGTTTTCTCAGAAAAGTCTTAAAATCTTGGAGCAAAGCTGGTGGAAGTCACTCTTTGCTCAGGCCGTCCTGCTTGCGTGCCAAAAGGCCTCCAAGCACCCAGCTTACATGTCTTATAAGTACAGTTCATTGCTACCGCATTATCCGCATCTCATGGTGCACCGCTTAGGTGGCTGCAAGCCTGGCAAGTCATCTTCTGGCAGGGCCAAACTCAGGACCAGCACACGGGAAGCACTTTGAAGAGAGCACTGTGCACAAGCAGTTTCGAAGTTTCATTTCGAAGTTCATCACGAGGCCAATGTCTTCACACGCCCTCCCTTGGGCCTGGAGGCTGGGGCATTCTTTGTGCCAGGTTCGCAGTAAGCAGATGGGCCGGATGTTGAGATCCTAACAGGTTTAAGGTATTCTGACATGGGAATGAGAGAACGAGACCTTCATGAGTTGAAACTTAACGTGACAGCAATTTAATGTGACACTTCCCCATTTTCTCTGCAGATGCTCACCTTTGTATGCTCGTTGAAACGTCATACAGACCGCCGCTCCGAATTTGGCAGCCAGCTTTCAGGCAGATGACCTTGCCTTTGTTGCTTCTGCCTGCGACCGGGCGCAACATGCTGGTCCTGCGTCGCTCGGCGCAGCAACATGAAGCACGGATGTGCACAGCGGCAGTCATTTGTGTGATGAGGATGCTGATAGTCATCATTGTAAACAGTGCTATAATGTACTTCTGCGGCGGCTTCTGAAAAGGCCTTAGAGATTGTCTTCAGAAGATGGCCTCTCGCCACTGATCAGGATGCTAGGCCAGGCACGGTGAACCCAGGCTTGCTCTGAGCACTTAGGCAATTTTTGGCCAGCTGTGTTCAATTGGAGAGACCTTTTGGCCCAGGGGGTTACTACCAGCTCATGGCACACTGAGCCTAAGTGTCGTGACGGAGCTCTCATGATGGCTGATTTTGTCTGGCTCCGAAAAGCAATCCTCGATCTTCTTTGCGACCACGAAATTGGCGATGTGTTGTCATCGAGTGTCGGCCGTGCTTTGACCCCGGTTCGTCCAGAAGACCAGAAGATGGTAAGTTTCCTCATCTATCTGCCGTCATCTGAACTGATTCGCCCAGATCTATTCCTTATCTAAATCCAAACCAACGAATGAGGAAGCTGAACTGCTTAGACTTTTTGGCTTCTACCCTTCTCTGTGCCTGGCAAGCATTCTGCAGCAGTTATGGCATTTTTTGCCGAACACGGGTTGGGCTTTCTTCTGTACTTTAGCTTCTTCTGCTGTGGCAGGTTAGTAACAGTGAGTGATGTCTTCCACCCTTAAGACTTAAGAACATGCAAGAGCCCCCAGGCCTGAGCAGAAAGTCGATGGAACCACGACGGTGATGTCCTGACATCACGCAAGGTTGAGGATGAGGCATGAGCTCAACCAAAGCCGTCTGCTTCGCACATCAGCTTCCTCACTGGGCGCTGCGATTGCACCGCACCCAGCTATTGTGCCGCCAGGCTGTGCTGGCTGAATCAGTCACCGCGTCATGCCATTCGGTCAACACAAGGAGTCGGAGATCAATGTTTTTGCTCATGTGTTCGTGAGCACGTGCAGGTCAAACTTGGTGATGGCACCTGCAGTGAGCTACTTCGAGGCAAGCAGCGACGTGGCCATGCACGTCATACATTTAAACGTGTGTGTTGGTGAGTGGGTAGGGTGGGTGGGTGGGTGGGTGGGCAGGAGTGAATGTGCTGATGCGGATCTGTGCGTGGAAACGAGCTGAACATGCGATCCAAAGTGCTACCAACAGGCCCAACAGGGTGGGCGGTGGGTCCTTCCGCTGGTCATTGCTCAACGATGTCGTGATCATCATCAGACGGAGGAGTCCGTCTGACGTTCCTGCGTCACGCCCGTGACACACTAAGTGTCGTTTAAGCTGGGCAGCGTTGCGTTTCGGAACAAGTTGTGGTGCAGCATTTTTGTATGCGGCAGTTCCATGTCCCGCAAGAGCAGCTGGAGCAGCGCATTATTCCCTATGAGTCAGTGACACCTTGCAAGAGGTGCAGTGACCAAGCAGCTTGTTTTGCGATTTTGCAAGCACAAAGTGTGATGAACCTTTTCATTCTCTCCACCCTCCTTGCACGTTTTGCATGTTCACACACACATTGTTTAAATTTTCTTTGCGCACAGCATTCCACTAGTCACGTGCCTGCCCCAACCAGCTGCTCCTCCTCCAGAAGAAGGATGTATTCATACATTGTACATATTTCACAGCGTGGGCTGTGCGGCGGTTCGTTCTCGCCGTTGTAGGACACGGGTCTGCATTTTCCAAAACTGTGCGAAGAATGCACATCCTTCATCATGCTTCATTGACCTCACTCTTGTCACACATGCAATCGATGGGATGCATGATGTTCTCTGAGTCAAACACTGCCGCATGCTAAGCATCTGTTATATATTGCTTCAGCACCATGCTCTTATAATAGCCATTGCTCATGCCGCATGACACACAGGCAACCATAGACGACGCCTTCATACAGGGTGCAAACGTGTGCAAACGAATCAGCGCCACAACCTCGCAACCCATTGAAGATCCCTCATTCTTAAATCAAATAGAATCTCTAGCTGATTTGATGAAGGTGCTCCGCGCCAGCAAAACTCTTTCAAGTTCGTGTCTGTGTTTGTGTATCTGCGCTCCCCAATAAACCTGCAGTGAATGCCATGACGCCACTGTATCATATTAGGATGACCCCATTTGTCACTGTATACATATTAATATATACATGCACAAAACACACTCGGTGCCAACCTTGTGCCATGTGCGTGCGTGCTCAGCTAGTGGCAGCTATTGGCTAAAGTAATGCGTGTGTGTTTGTCGCAGCCGGTGTGGTCACGTTTCAGTGTCGCGGATGTTGTGGTCAAGCATTCCGCACGGTGCTGCATGGAGATTTGAAGGCAGAGTTGTGCAAGCAGCTGTGGGTCGAGCACTGCGCACATTGCAAGGTCCGGACTTATGCCTCATGTCATGTTCATATGTGGTCATGTCATGCCATGTCCTTCCGTCGAATACGCGTCTGCGTGCGATTTTAGCCACTCCAAATTAGGCCTAGGTGAGTCAAGACAGAATTGAGCAACTGTCATGCGGCTTGTCTGCGCTGATCAAGTGGCAATCCGTTGTCTGGCACGTGTGTTTGTGTGTGTTCAGTCAGGCGGAAGCGGCAGCGACGAGGTGCCGCAATTGACAACATTCATGCCAGCAGATGGCCTCAGATGGAAAAATTTTCTGTCCACATGTCCCTCAAGACTCTGCGGTTTGCCTGCGGCAGCCTCTTTCCATACGCCAGGCACTATGCACTTTGCCGGGCTTCGGTGTCGCTTGGACGAGATTTCGTTCGCCTTGGAGCATTGTGAAAGTGTTGTTGGGCTGTTGAATCCTGTTTCAGCGACAACCAGCACGATCACTTATTAAAAATGCTGTGGAGTGCTGTAAAAGGTATATAGAATCTGGCCCTCCTGCGTCGTCGTTGTTGGTACAGTGTTCAAGAACCTTCCCTTCCTGTGATTCGTTGTTTGGCAAATGTTCCAGTGTCGAAAAAATGAAAATCACATGTGGCCAGTTTTGATGCGCCAGTAGAATATGTGCGAACGAGTCCCGAGAGCTCTCCCACCCTGGCCGTCATGTTGGTTCCAACTTACCTCGCAGAGCTCTGCTGGAAACATGAGAGCTCTATGAGGCTGGTCGCCCAGCGACTGTAGCCTTTTTTGTCCTGCGTAGATGTTGTACATCGGTCTTGAGCTTTCAACTCGATGTCCTCAAAACCTGTCAAAGTTCGTGGCTGACCGACGTTTCCTCTGTCTTGCTGTTGTGGACAATGCGGACAAGCGAAGATGATGCAGCAGCTAAGGTTCACGGCACACGTGAAAGCTTAGTCTTGCTGCACTCTGTGTCGCGACTGTAAGGCATCTCTGCAGCAGCAATCTGTGTCCACTATTGAATGCAAGAAGGATGAAAGCACACATGACTCAGCGATCCTTCGAAAATAGTGACTGAAGTTGATTGTAAGCACCTCACCGATGTATCCAGTACATGCCGGACTGCCGAGGCCTGTAGCATGGACAGGTTGTTAGACAGCCCAGGCGCTAGCAACATGGTCATATCCAGGATAAGACAGAGTAGGCATGAGAGAGGTAAAGTGCCTGAAACCAGAAGCAACAAAAATCGTACAGACACAGACCGCAGGCTCAGGCCTGTTCATCACGTCTGCACTGCTGGTTCGGATATCTTCGGGCCCCAATCAGGCTTCGAGTTGTCGATTGTCCGACTGTGGCCTGTAAGTTGCGGTGAGCAAGGCATGGCCAAGCCCATGCACAGCTCCCAAAGGGGGGGCTAAGCTGCGACTCATGCGACCGCAGCGCGGCTCTTCTCAAAAGCGTTCTGAAAGCTGCTCGCAAGTTGCACCTGCTGATCTGTCTCGCAGTGCTGGCATATGAATAATTTTACCACTACGCGACCCGCCTTAGCCGGGGCCAGGCAACCCAAACCGGATCGCACACAGAAATGCGTTGGGGCGGTGGGGGGGTAACGGGAGGGGTGAGGTGGGGTACTGGTCCGAGGCCTCGGCGGACTTGCCAATAGCTGGTCCTTATTTGGCCGTGTTCACAGTGCAAATGTAGTGCAAGTGTAATTAGCATGGATGTGCAATCATTGTCGCGTATTGGGTGTTTGCAACGTGGCCGCGCCCAAGCCGCCCAAGTCTTGAGCGACAGAACAAGTCCAGTCTTCTGTACTGTCCAAGTACAGGACAGGCACGCGGCATCACCATTAATCATCTATCTTGTCGTTCTCAAGAGGACATGCCGTCAATGAGATCCCAAGCATATTGTGGGTTTGACATTCATCTTGAACTGCAGAAGTTGCAAGGAAATGCACCGGTCCAGTAGCCGGCGAAAGCATCGGCAGCTGGTGTCTATTCAGACTATGCATGTGCTCTTCATTCGTTGTCCCTGTAGGTAGCTCCAGCCAAACACGGCCCCACGTTACTCCGTATCCGACGGTGCGCCATCTCAACCTCTCATGCCTCATGACATTCCGACTCTTCGACCTCGGTAGATAGCAGATTCACCGATGCTCGTGTGTTGGATGCCACCATTTCGCCCGACGGGGACATGCTCGACGAAGCGGCATTCTCAGTAAACAGAGGACTTGGGAGCCTGAGAGTCTAGCAATGTCACCAAGTTCAGTGTAGCAAGGTACCTTTCACGGTATGCGCCACGGGGCATTGATGGGCATTGCTCGCGTGCAAAGGCTTTGCCAGCTTCCCCTTCTCGGGATGTTCCGAGCCAAGCCGACACTGTCACGACTCACATCAGCGCTGCCAAGAAGGCTGGGAATGATCCGAAATGGGGGAAGCGTGAGAAGGCACATGGAGGGCAGCCAACGTGATCGCAGGCAGGAATTGACTTTCGTTCTTGTCTGGTTTGAGGGGTTCATTCGCATGACAACGCCTCGCCCACCTGCCCTGGCTTTCGTGGGTCCTGGCCGTCAAGTCGATTGAGTTGGGCGCGCGGCCGCAAGGCCGAGCGGAGTGGGAGCCCGATGCGGCGACAGATATCGAAGAAGAGCATCCTTGAAGCACTGAGGGTATGACTCACATGTCGAGGGTTCGAGGGTCTTGCTCCAGTCGCATGGCTTGATGATACAGCTGCCCGAGGCAATCACAGCGACGTCAGCCGAGTCAGTTCCCTGGGATACAAGGAGCGCCCATTTGTTGAGACAGGTGTAGCTGGATGAATTAGACGATCACACTGCCGCCGCTCGAGGATTTGATGGATGGGCCTTCGGGCAGGCCTGGCACGCTGCAGAGCTTTGCGAAGCTGTCAACTGGTCGCAGTTTGCAGCTGGCGTGTCTAGCTGTGTAAGCCTGCGCAAGCCAGCATTCTGCGCATGGAGTTGGCAATCCATGCCCTGCGCCCTGCGAGTAAAGTCTGTTGCAGAAATCGATGGCTTGTAGCAGAAACCGTGCTCCGAAACCAATAACAGAAAATGCCGCGAGTGACAACGGAAACCAACATGGGAACGTTACAGAAATCAATGGCCGGTCGGAACGAAAGCCAACAGAAACCAAGAGAGAGAGAGAGAAGAGAGAAATGAAGGGCGGGAAAAGGACGAGGGTAGAACAAACTAACTGTGGGACAACCTCGGCCTAATGTTGACGTCGCTTGAACCCCCCCCCCCCCCCCAGAATCCGTGTTGCGTCCGGGGAGTTTTCAGGGTGGTGAAGAAAAGGGAAGGGGTCTGGGGGTCTGGGGGAGGGTCTGTTGTCAAGAAGGGTAGGCTTGCTTTCAAGGCTTCTGCGATGCTCTTTGCGACCGTATTGTCATAGCACGGGCTCGTAACCCTTTCCGGAATTTTTCGAGCCCCGGCGGATAAGGATTTAAATGGATTTAAGTAAAGAAACCGCTGCTTTGTGATCTCTTGCAGCTTCTGGCTTCGGGGGGTTTTAACTTAAGCCTCAGAGGCAGCCATTTAGCATTCTGGGCCTAGACGGCCTGTCTGCTTCTCTGAAAGCAAGGCTTTCTGCATCAAGCACGGCTTGGTCTAACCCCGTTCGGCCTTGTTTCCGTTTCGCTCCCTTTTGATTTCCGATACCGATACACCCCTCGCCCATACCTTTCGGTGGCGCTCGGCAATCAAACCGCAACAGCAGCAGCAAACAAACATTTTGTTCAGATACATGGGACCACACAAACGGTCAAGAACATAGCATGTGGAGCAACAACAGTGATCAACGACTGTGGCCTGCTCAACTGCTGAGATGCCTGCGCACTTTGGGGTCTCTAAGAGTTGTGCTAGGGCATTGTCCGCGCTAAGCTCTTGAGCTCCAGGGCCTCGGCCGCATCAGCGGTGTCCAACACGGGCAAAGCGTTGCAGGCGGTGCCCCGGCAGACTCAAGTCAAAAGTGCACAGAGAGCGCTGGGAAGCCAAAGCTGCTGTAGCTGCTGTAGCCTAATGTATCTACTGCAGCCCCATTTCTGAAGCATGCGTTTCCGAAAGCATGCCTCCAGAATCAGAGCAGGCAGCCTTGATGCCTTGATGTCACTCACAACCTCCATAGATCAAGGCACCCAGCAAACCTCCAAGGCACAAGTGTGAGGGAACAAAATGCTTGGACGCAAGCGCCTGAATGATTGCGCTTTTTAAAAATCGTTGCCAACCCTTGAGACATCTTGCAGGTGAGAGGTTCAAGGTTGTCACAGATTCAGCGTTGCCGCAGTGATTTGTTGTTTTTGGGGGTTCCTGGCCGCCCTGCAGAGCTCTGAAAAACACCCTTGTTGTCGTTCTTCGCACGGCCAGCATGTCATTCTGAGGGCGAGCTCCGTGCCCTAGCAGCATCTGGCATTCCACGCGGGGCGTCAAATGTGGGACACTGTACATCGCTCCAAGGCAAGTCGCTCCGGAGTCTTCCGAGCCTCACACCACAAGAGGCATCCCTGCGGACACGTTGATGTGGCAGACTGGCAGAGTCAGAGTGCTAAAGACGGTTCCAAGATGCCAAAGCATGCCACCAACAGCTGAACAGGCGGAGGACGTTGTAGTTCCCCAGCGCAGCCTGACAAGGCTGGCTTAAGAATTGATGACCATCGAAAGATTGCGCAAACATGAGTGACCTTGGCCGTGCAGGGGTACCACAAGCGCACCCCTGCCACTGAAGCCCGAGAAAGCTTTGGCTTCCCTGACCATCTTCAAGAACTGCCGCGAGGCGTCGGTGGACTTTTTTTTTGCGCTTCCATGCGGGTAGCTTCTTTTGCTGCCTTTAACTCCTTATAAGCACTGGTTGGTACACATGGGAAAGTTGCACAGTCTCTTGAAATCTGCCTTTTGATTGGCCAGTCCTTCTTCTACCAGTTGGCTACCCTCGGTGAGCAGGTGCGTCTCAGAGGTGGCCAGGACCTCAGAAATCTCAGTTGAAATCGTTGAAATCTCGCCATTCTCGCAAAATCATTTTGAGCAAAGAAGAATCGTGAGGGCACAGTTTTTTGTCCGAGGAGAGTTCCGAGAACTACGAGGATCACGAGGCCGCCATCCAAAGAAAAGTGAGAGAACCGTGACATTCACACTAGAAGAATCTGTTGGATTCTTTAGAAGTTGGAACTTGAGGATCTCGCTTTCGTGGGACGTGCTAATTTCCATGAACTTCTTGTCGGCACAGGCCAGAGGACAATCAGCGATTCAGCAAGCCACCGAGTCCTCTGGAGAGCATGAGCATTGCAAAGCTACTGTAGGTCACAGCACATGTTGATAAGAAGCTGATAATCATCTCCCGGACCGGCATGAGTCGGCATGAGAGGCTAGCTGAGGCTGCACTTAGCCAAGCTGAACACGTTGCCCCAATGAACGTTTACTCGCGGACTCATGGTCTCAAGTGCCAAGCTCCTCTGTTTTCGCCTGCGAGTCGCCGTTGCTGAGGGCAAGCAAGCAGCTGCAGCGGTTGTTCTCAGCGGCACCTTCCGTGCCTTGGACCGAAAGCACGAGTCGGCAAAGCACCAATTGAATGCCGCTACGTTGTGCATGGTTTGAGCAAACCGAGGCAAGCATAAATACACACCACAGCCAGCCGAATCGCGAGAGGGCACCGCGAAGCAGGGGTTTGACCTGAGGTACTGCAAGCCAGCTAATCAGCCAGCAACAGGAGGTACTCGAAGGAAGTTAGGGAATCATGCGTTCTGGAGTCAGGATTCAAGCGAGGCCAGTTTGAAAGAAGCAAGGTTCCAAGAATGCAAAAAAAATGTGGCAGAGTATCTTTCTTCTGCACAAAGAAACATCATGTCAAGTCACAGACTGCAGCTGTCGGGTGCCACCATGTGAGAGAGGTGGCGACATGCCACGACATGCTGGCATGCTAAGAACGGGAATGAAAGGTGAGCGAAGGCTGAATGTATTGCGGGCAACTAAGAAGCT